GATTTGTAGTTTTTTGAACAAATTGTGAAACTGATGCTTTATTTCCTTGTAAAAAAATTAAGTACCATTTTAGTGTTGTCTTTAAGTTACAAAAGAGTAATTATCATGTTATTCTAGTTAAGATATCATGTGCCAGACTTTAAACATTTCCATATGGGTAGGGAACAGAGGGCATGCCATTACATTACGTTATTTAATCTAAAAGTATGTTTAAAAAAAATTGCTAAATTTTGAAGTTATTCAGTAGATTAAAACTTTGCCTTTCTGTGAGTTATAAATGATGTAGTACAAAAACAAAAAAGAAACTTACTGGCAATTTGTGAAAGAGAGGATGTGACAGATGGGCACGGGCAAGTGGGTATGATTTTCTACTTTATTATTCCATAAACAAATAAGATTGAAGGCTATATAAATTATACTTTGCCGTAGTAACAGCTGTATTGTGATGAGTAATTTACATTAAATTCTGTATTTCTAAAAGGGATGATAAGTTAGAGACGAGGGAAGATCTAGAGAACAAATTTTTAGATTTTCATAGTAGGGGAAGTTGGTGTTTTTTTTAAAGATATTTCTTATAAAATTAAAATTTATATAATATTAAGATTTTATTTATTAACTATGTTCTGATAGCAAATTTAATCGTATATATTTATAATAAAATAGTTTAATTAAATTTTGAATGTAACTGTAAAAGGTTGTGACGTGCAGTTTGACCTACTCGTAGCAAGGGGGGTTAATTACAGTAAAAGCTTTTTTCCGTGTTTCTTAAAGTTAACACGGCTGATGGCTTCAGCCAATAAGTGGTTATTTCTAAGCAAATGTAACTTTGTGAATGTCAATTAAGCATTGTCACCATAAATTTTTGTTCTTTGGTGTTTTTCAGTCACTCAAACAGTGTGTTTAGGCTTTAGAGATTTGTTTTTCCACCAAAGTTAGAATTGCTTAAGACACCTGCAGCTCTCATAACATAGACTTGTTACAGAATCAATTTTTCATTATTTTGAGGCAAGAATGTTCACAGAAAAGGTGTTTTTTGTATTGTTGATTTCCAGAATAAGTGAAAATGAATGGAAGGGGATGACAGCTTGTATCTTTTTTTCCTAGTAATAAGACATATAAAAAATAAAAACAGATGAAGACAAACATTTCAAATTTTGCAACTGACATTAAATAGTTGTAATTAAATTTAGAAAAAACAAAAGATCTATATACAGCTACACCTAACTTAGTATTTTAGCATTTGTAAAGAGAATGCTCCTTTTCAAATTTTTCTTTTATGTCATCCCTTATAGCACTTACTGTTCCATCTCTTATTAAAGTTTTATGTTTACGATGTATTTGTAGTGTTCCTGGTGCATTTTTTCAAATCAGAAGATTTCACTGTTTTTTCTTTTCGTGTGGCTACCCTTGTACCTATCTTACATAAAGCTTTTAATAAAGTCTTTCTCAAATATTCGTATTAACACACACACACTTCAAAATTCTCTGAAAATGATGAACAAAAACTTGCCTTGATAATTCCTTATCATCCATCACCATATCTCCCCAAATTACTAAAATAATCATGGACAATTTTTAATATTCTGCTGATTAATTCTAACTTTAAAGATAAGTTCACTTCAAAACTCGTAGTTGCTTATAACCACAACCCTTTCGAGACGGGTCATGGGTGAAAGGCCATGTCATCTTGTTTGTTGACTCGCATTCAAAATTTTGTTGAACAACTATTTCATGAATTTGTGTCAATAAGTTTGGTATCAAACTGTAGATTATAATTCAAATTTTAGTACTATATATTACTCAATTTTTGAATTTATAAGTAAATATTAAAAAACACAGAAAAACATCGATTTTTGTGTGTCACGTGGTATGTTGAATGAGCACTGGTTCAAAATACTAAGTCTGTAGTTTCGTATGGATTAGAAACTCAAATTACAGATATTGACAAGCTAGAATATAAAACAAGAATGT